TTATATAAAAATGTATCTATAGCTCACAGTAATGTAGATCACGTAGTGTGATTACAAGAGTTGTTGCTTAGCAATAAATATGGGATAACTGCATGTTAGCTGTTAACATAAAAGTAACAAACTTTTACAATTTTTATACTACTATATTTGTGTCAAAAACCAAGGCACTTCCAGGTTGAAAAGATTAGTTGGTGACATTATGTTGTTTAGGGGATGCTTGAGAGGGCTCCTTTCATATCCCTGGTATTTTCCCACCAAAGTGGTACCTATTTATCTAGTTGCATTGCATGCTTTCGAACTGTCTGATATCGTATAGGGTCTCCTGCTTGAGCAGGGGTTGGACTAGAAGACCTCCAAAGTCCCTTCCAGCTCTATTCTGATTGATTTATTGATTGCTAGGTGAGCAGGAGCTGTGACAAATTGGTGGGAAATCATTCCTTTGGGATATTGGGTTTTGCTCTTGGCTTTTGAACTGCCGAGTTGTAGACCTCTCAACGGTCTTCTGACTCAGCACTGTTTTAGCACCTGTGCCCCCCTCATTTCTATAGATAACGTTCTTTTCACATCCAAATTTTGTTAGATCAGATGTGAACTGATTACATTAACCTATAGAACCCCCTGAGAAATTCACAAAAATAAAAAATACCAATTTCAAGAACATAACATGGAAATAGGTATCTGTTCTTGAAATAATAGCAATAGCAATTAGACCAGCATGGAGGGGGGCATGATAATTATCTTCCAGTACTTGAGGACCTGTCACAGAGAAAAGGGAATTAACTTATTATTCCGAACATCAGGGGCAGGACAAGAAGTAATAGGTGGAAACTTGTTAAAAAGAGATTGAATCTAGAAATAAGGAGAATTTTTCTGACAGAGAACAATTAATCAATGGAATAGCTTGCCTCCCAGAATGGTGAGGGCTCCATCATTTGAGGTTTTCAAGAGTATACTGTACAACCATTTGACTGGGATTGTATAAAATCTCCTGATTTGAGCACGGGGTTGGACTAGAAGACTGCTAAGGTCTCTTCCATACCTATGATTCCATGTTCTATTCACACCAACAGAAATTAGCCCTAGAACTTACTTCTGGCTATACATAGCCCAGTAAAAATACCCCAATAAGTTAAGGTTACTAAACTAAATGGTTTCACTAAAAATCTAAACATAGTAGTTAGGTAAATTTTAACAGCTAATATGATTTATTTTCTAACATCTGTGAAATAAATGAAACAAATAGGTCTATCAAGCTAAAATCATAAAGTATTTAAATGCCTCATACTGATTTATGTAACATCTACTTAGAACATTCTTATTTTAAGGTGTTATTCTTATAACACCTTATTTTTTAAAAATGAAAGTTCACCACACATAGAATTTCAGGTTCGTCTGAGATTTTATACAACCAGTTCAATATGAGAAAATCAGTACAGAATTAGATACTTCTCATTTATTTAACAGACCGCACACATTATCCTTCTGCTGGCCTTACATCAACGTCCAAGGGAAATTGTAATGGAAGATACAGCTAAGGCACAGACTGCTATACAGTAGTGACTTCAAAGAAAAAGCAAGACTCATAACAACACTCAACTTCTCATTTATATTACAACCTTTATGTGTATTTTTCTTTAGGGTACTACAAGTAAACATGTCTATCCCTCTTGGAAAAGAAATCATGCCAGACGCCTGGAGCAACAGACTAATATATAAATGTAATACATGGCCCTATCTTCTGCTCAAGATATAAAAACAGTATCTTCTACTGCTGTAGATCTACTACTGTATTACAAATGAAAAGGATCAGGATATCTGGGCGATTGTCTGTCTGTCTGTTTTTCGAAATCAAAACTGAAAACACCCTTGAATGCCTTTAAGGAGTCTTTCCAAATAGACATCTTCCAGAATTCCAAGTGTGAGAATTATCAAAACTCTTAGTCGAAGACCTTTCTTGCTGGGGAATGCTGAGCACTGCAGTCCTCACACATCTGGAAAGCAGCCAGGTTGGGGAAAGATACCTTTGGCATGCAAGAAGACATCTCCTAACAAGTCTTACAAATGTCAACAGCAGGTCAACTATAAATATCGCAGCCTCCATGAAAACAATAACTACCCTAAATCTAAAGAGCCTTGGTAGTACAGTGGTCTAAAGCACCCTGTTATTAACACAGCTGTCTGCAATTACTGCAGGTTCGAATCTCACCAGGCTCAAGGTCGACTCAGCCTTCCATCCTTTCTAAGGTAGGTAAATTGAGGACCCAGTTGTGGGGGCAATAAGCTGACTTTGTATAAATATACAAAAGTATGAAGGCTATTGCTTAACGCATTGTAAGCCACCCTGAGTCTCCGGAGAAGGGCGGCATATAAATCAAATTAAAAAAAAAATCATTGTGCTAAATCAGATCTTAGGGAAATAGTTTGTGGCAACCTATGTAGAGTTTCCATCACTCCAAATAGGCAACAGAGAAGCCATTTTAGCTGTCTATCTTGCCAAAATGGCTATACATATATAGTAAAATAAAATTTCCTTCTCACCCTTATGGGTGTTCTTTGTACATAAAAATAGATAAATGAAGAGAATTAGATTAGCATTCTAACAGGCCAAATCCAAGGCACCAATGAGTTGGAAATACAGCAAGAAATGAAATAAACAACAGAATAAATGACTATTCCGTCGGCACATAATGCATCATTTCTTTTAGCTCATGTAGAACACATGGGCTATCATGCATTTGCTTCCTTCAGATGTCAGACTGAGACCATCTTCCTGTGAATTCTTTTCATGCCTTAGCATGAAATCCAGCTGGGTGACTTTGGGCCAGTCATCTCCTTCAGCCCAGCTCTTCTCACAGGATTGCTGCTGTAGGAAAAATAGAAGGAAGGAAGGAGTACTAGGGATATTTGCTCCTTCAGTTACCTATACAGTAATAAAGGTGAGATATAAATCTAATAAATAAATAAAATAACCTTGGGTGACCTTCCCCAAAGGACCTGCCAAGGTGGTATTGTTCTGCAGGACTTTATAGGTTGAAGTTGTACAAAAGGGGTTGAGGTCATCAAATTCCAAAGTTTTAATCTTGATTTATTTTTTATGTTGAACCTATAATTTTAATCTTTTTAAAAAATGTGTGTGTGTGTGTGTGCATGCAGCCATTTTTGATTGGTTTTGGCCCCCTGTTCCTATGGACAACCCTGGCTAATGTGATCCTTTGACAAAACTATTTTAGAAAGATTATTTAAAAATAGAGGGACACATAAATATGGCTGTTCTAGGGAGCAGAATTTTTCTTCCCTCCAATATCTCACCACGACATATGACGTGTGACACACACAAGCACATGACAGCAGTTTTCTCTGCCATTCCCACACTCTGGCCATGTATCCTTCTGCATCCTATCAGGTGACAAACAGGTTTTAGCAATCTCTCTCTCCCCCCCCCCACCTCTCTTTCTGTATGTCTTTCTGCCCATCTCCTCATGAAGTTAACTTCATCTCAGCTCCAGTCATGAGTGAAACAGACATAAGCCATTCTTAACTGTACAGGCTGTCATTAAATATTGTTCTTCCTATTATTCCAACACTGCCTAAAGGCAGCCTTAAGGTGAATAAAATATGTTCTGTCCCCTATTATCTTGGAGGAAAGTCAGTAACTAGAAGTGACTTGAAAGACAGCCATAAGAATAGGATAGGAATTGGCAAGAAAAGCAGTTCCATGCTGACACCCTACCAAAGAAAGGTGGAAGTCCATAACTCAGGAGAAAGAAACTTTTTCCTAAACACATCCCCTGCTTTGCCCTTCTATCCTCCACCCCCAGCATGGGGCATCAAAAAAATTAAGATGGTAGCCACACCCATGTAATCAAATTCCACCCCCTTTTTATAAGCGCCATCTTGACTTTTTTGATGGCCACCATGTTGATTTTTTGGCGCTTCTGCGGCCACCCAACCCCCAATTTTCTCCTCTTGCCTTTTCAGTTGCAACTTTACCCTAACCATTATCCTTACTGTCAATCCAAATATAATGTCCACACGTGTCTTTTGCATGCCCAAGGCATTTAATACACCAAAGTAGCCAGTCATCTTGATAAAACAAGTTTATAAGAAGGGCACCCTTACTGTTCCTGAAGTACAGATGTGGGGCTGGGAGACCAAAGATTGTGACTGTATTGAATTCAAGACTGACCCTTCTTTTTTCCTCACACTCTTCATCCCCTTGGATATACAGTTGGTGCTCGACTTGCAACCATTCGTTTAATGACCAAAGTTACAACGGCAATGAAAAGAGTGGACTTATGTCATTTATCAGACACTTATGACCACTGCACCCTCATGGTCACGTGATCAAAATTCAGACGTCTCATAATTGTTTCATCTTTATGAGGGTTGCACTGTCCCACGGTCATGTGACCACCTTTTGGGACCTTCTGACATGCAAAATCAGTGGGGAAGCCAGATTCATTTAACAACCGTGTTACTAACTTAACAACTGCAGTGATCCACTTATAACAACTGCGACAAGAAAGGTCGTAAAACGCGGCAAAACTCACTGTTTCGCTTAGCAATAGAAGTTTTGAGCTCAACTGTGGTTGTAAGTTGAGGACTACCTGTAGTGTTTGTTATACAGCAGGGGTTCCCAACCCCGGGCCGTGGACTGGTACCGGTCCATGGCCTGTTGGTAAGCAGGCTGTGGAAGCAGCAGGCGAGCGCATGAAGCAGGGGTGGGTTCTAATTTTTTTTACTACTGGTTCTGTGGGTGTGGCTTGGTGGGGGGGGGTAATGTGACTGGGTTGGCATGGCCAACTTTTTTAAAAAAAACTTTTAAAAGCATTTTTTCTACAACCTTAAGAGGTTGCAGAAAAAATGCTTTTCGAAGCCTCTGAGGATCAGGCAACTCAGCTGGGATCGCCAGAGGCTTTTAAAGGCATTTTTTTTCCCTACAGCCTCTTCCACCGCTGCTCTACAGGCTTGACCCCTTGTTACCGGAAAGCCAACTGGACCTTGATTTATTTGCAGTGCTCTTGCTGCAGTGCCAGCTCACAATTCTGGATGGGAACGGTTATGCACACCGCCTCTTTATGGGTCTCCTTTTGCTTAGGATCACCACTTTAAATAGCTGTCCGGCAGGCAGAATTTCAACAGGTGAAGCTGGTCCCGGTCCTTAGATCCTAACGCCCGTTGGATTTCCCCCCTGCCACCTGTCCTTGAAACCAGCTCGTCCCCCAGCCTACTCTTACCGGCGAAGTTCTTGGTGAAGACCAGCGTGACGAGGACAATCGGGATGAGGACGGTGCCGATGGTGACCACGCGGTCAAAGGGCAGCTCGAGCTTCAGCTGCACGAGGAGCGCGGCCAACGAGCCCGTCTTATCGTCTTGCTGCCCGGGCAAGATCAACTCCTTCAGTTTCTCCCCAGCCAGCAGCGCCGTTGCCATGTCCGGATGGTTTTCGATGATGTGTTGCATAAGCGGCGGCGGGTCGGAAGGCACTCACCGGGCTCCAGGTAGCCGGAGCAACGGCGTCGTCGCCTCACCGGAGAAGATCCGGAGCCCGAGATGGGCTCAGCCTGCGGGGAGGAGACCAATGAACGCGCCCGTGTAGGGAAAGGCCGAGGCGGGCGGCAGGGAGGACGCGGCCCGAAGGAGGCACCATATTCTTCGAAGAGACAGCACGGTCTACTACCGAGACTGCGGCACCGAGGCCGGGAGGCTGCCCGCGCGCTATCGAGAAGCCTACTACATCCCCCCCCACCCCCCCGCTCCACCGCCTTCCTTCCCCTTTTTCCCTTTGGTAACCCGGACTCGGAGGCGACAGCGAGGCTGCGGCTGCAAAGCCGGCCTACACACAAGGGTCGGTTCTGCCTCAACCGACGCGAGCAGATGGAACTGACGCGGGGGGTGGGGGGGGGGAGAAATGCCGCCCTCACCCTCACAACTGAGAGGAAGAGATTCCAAGCCAGGTGTTTTTGCTGGGTCGTAAAAAGAGCAACGGGGGAGAAAGGAGGCGGGAAAGGAAGGGGGGGGGGAAGAAAAAAAAAGGTTTACTGCGGAACCACCAGAGTCGTCCTTAGTTACCTTGTGAAGTTTGGGAGGCGGGCAGGGAGGCTCTCCCGATCCACAGAGGGAGCGCGAAAGCCAAGGTAGGCATGAAATTTCCAGCTGCTGCGGCAAGGATGAGAAAAAAACGCCGGCCTGGAATTTCCTCTTGGTCCAAAAGGGAGCCTGTCCCACCAACCCAGCGCCGAGTCGCTTTTCCCTCCTCAGATTAAATAAAGAAACAGAAACAAGAACAGCAGCAACCACCCTAGAAGGACGGCCGATTTCTTTGGGCTTCAAGTTATGTCGGCGGAGACGCGGGATTTCCCCTCCGAGGCGGCAGCGCGCGGAGCCCAGGCAGGCGAAGGGAGGCTGTTGCCGCAGCGCTCGGGGCGGAAGGATGCCCGGAGGCGCCGAAGCCCAGGCAGACGGTGGCGAGAGGTCCTTTAAGGTCTTCGCGTCCACATCTGGAATTCGCATCGCTTGGCAGCCGCGGGAGGCGGGGCTGCCGGCTTTGCACCGGGCCGGGCGGGAGAACCGAGAGGGGGCGGCAGTGGTCGCCGGCATCACACGGCACCAAGCTGCCGAGTCACTCGGCGCACCCCCGCTGCGACTGGCGGGACGGCAAGGAAAGGTCGGGCGGGCTCCCCCTCCTCCGTCTGGGGCTGCGGCTAACGGCGGTCCGTTGCCATTCCCACGACCTGCCTCCCGCGCACACACCCACACCCCGATTTTTGGGGATGTGTGTGGAAAGGCGGGGTTGCGGGGGAAGGAAGGAAGGAAGGAAAATGCAGCGACCTGAGGCGGTGAAACGTCGCTATATCAAACGCAGCTGGTGGCTTTTTTTTTTTCTTCCCTTCTCCCTCAGGTTGCCCGGTTCCCCCCCCTCCTCCGAGTTCCTCTCATTAGTAGCTCTCCGCTTCAGTTCTTCTGCAGGCTCACCTAGAAATTAATTCCAGCGGTCGATGGCACTCAGGCGCATGCGCCAAATCAGCGGATCGAAGCTGTAGGGCTAGGGCTTCTTGGAATAGATTAAAATTCCTGGTTCCAAAAGCATTGCTGGGATATTCCAGCTCTGGCAAACGTTGCCTGAAATTTAGGCAGAATCCAAGAACCGTAGGCAGACGAGCCGGCGTTGAAGATTGAAAGGAATATGGGCAGGATTAAGTTGCAATACAACCAAAGAGATAAAACTCTTATTATCTCTAGAATGGATTTACCCATCCATTAAACCAGGTCGGTTAAGGTTGGATATGGGTTAGTGCAGGGGTGCTATTCAGTAGGTTCTGGAGAACCGGTAGCAGAAATTTTGAGTAGTTTGGAGAACCGGCAAATACCACCTCTGGCTGGCCTCAGAGTGGGGTGGGAATGGAGATTTTGCAATATCCTTCCTCCAGGAGTGGGGAGAAAATGGGGATTTTGCAGTATCCTTCCCTTGCCATGCCCACCAAGCCACACCCACAGAACCTGTAGTAAAAAAAATTGAATTCCACCACTATTGTAGTGGAATGGAAGGACTAAAAAACATTCCCAGGCCAGTCAGAGACAGTTTATTGCGCAAGGTTCAGAGCCAGATTTGTACCTGAAGCTTTGAACTAAGAAAGAACTCTGATACAATGGTTTTTATACATTTCTAAGACAAAGGATTCAGTGAGATCATACATTTTCCATATATGGTTAATCATGAGATCATACATCCGATTTTCCTTCTATGGTTACATTCACTGTTAATAAGTTCATCTAATTACTTAAAGCATTAATCTTAGTTTACAAAATTATCTTAGCCACACAACTTTTCTTAAGTGCTCAGAGTCGCTAATGGGAGAGTTACTACTGTCCTTGGGTAAATTCATTGGATTAAGTAACTCTTTGTAACATATAGGTCTTTGTGTCATTCACAGTCAGGTCACTCAGATGTTTTTTCATATAGCAGTCCTTTCCGTGACATCTAGGTATCAGAAGATATATTACCACTTAAAGGGGTTTAACTGTTTGTTAATGTAATTTCCAACAAGCACTTTCCTCTCTTATAATAATTTGAATAGATAGGGTCTCTCAGAGTTCATGTATCCAAGCACGTCTTCCCCTTATAATAATGTGAATAGAGAGGGTCCCCCAGAGCCCATATATCTGACTCTGTATGATTCCTATTTTATTCACATTATTTCTTTTATCTACATTATTCTTTATTTGCTATTTACCTCACTATGGTTAGTGTGAATCCATCCAGCCACTATGGTTAAATGAAGCAGTAGCTTGGGGAACCAAATCAATGCTTAAATTCTCTATTAGATTCTTATTTGCAATGATATAAATAGTTTCTTATAAGCTTTGGTCTAAAACAAGGAGGTCTTTAACATTTTGGCTTGCCTGGACTGCATTGAGTGAACGGAAATTGTCTTGGGCCACATATAAAATTTATAAGATAGTTTTATAATATAAAATCACATAACGTTAAAAATTATGATCTTGTGGGCTGCAGGTTGGACATGCCTGGTCTACAGTAAGATAAGGAACTGCCTCCAACTCCCCTCTCTTCCCCTGTCTTCTCCCTCAACTCTCCAATTTTGGCCACCCTGTCCCTTACCTTGTGTTGCAGCAAGCAGCACCAAAACCATGCAGCTCTGGGATTGCTTGCTGTGCCCTGGGAAGCTGAAGTCAGCTCAGCCCAGTCCAGGTCCCACTTGACACCCAGCACTCTGAGACCCCTACTGTCTTGTGCTCCACCATCCCAGCTGGCCATCACCGCTGTCTTTTTGCTTCTGCTGCTACTGCTGAGGTGTGTCTGGGCTGTGAGGGATTGCTTTGTGCCTTGAAAAAGGGAAGAAAAAACATAAAGCAGCTTAAAGTTGCCAGAGTATACCAAAACAGTTCTTATGTAGTGTTCCAGAGCCATGTGGGACTGGCTTTGGGGGGGGGGAGAGGGGAGAGGGAGAGGTGAAAGCAACTTTTTTCCCTCAGAATGCAAAGCCAGCCTCAGCCCTACTCAGGAGTTATTTGCAAAATAAGGAATGGGATGAGATGGGATGGGACAGGACAGGACAGGAAATAAACTGTTTGCTCTACTCCAGCTCAGGGAGGGGCTGCTTTCTGGGTTTTTTTTTCCTTTTTCCCCATGCAAATCTAGCCCCATACAGCTCAAGAGCATGGCACAAAATTGTGTGTTGGCACACTCCAGCTTTTTAAAGCTGGTTTTGTCACTTTTTCATAATGAAAATCCAGCTCCATGTAGTCCACTAGCGACATGCCTCAACAGTGGGAGGAAAAAAACAGCCGGGGTGGTCGTGCAGAGGCAGCAGGAACCAAAAGGACAGATGGGAGATAGGCCAGTGGGAGGAATTGCAGCACTGTGAGATGGTAAGTGCAGGTGGGCTGCAAGTGCCTGAATTTTGATCACAAGACCGTGGGGACCCTGCAATAGCTGTAGCTTTGGGCATGGGTCGAAGATCCCTTTTGTTGTGGCCCGCCAGTGGCCAGCGGAGCTGGTGGCAGACTCAGACAGTGAGGAGTTTGGGGAGGAACATGGGCCAGTCCTGGAGTCTGGGGAAGGCTCTGATGAGGGCTCTGCGTCAGAGGCAGAGATGGGGCCAGGGCCGTCTCACAGTTGTCAGCTGCTTTTGGAGTCGGACATCTGTGGAGCAGAAGAACAGCTGGAGCCTATTCCCAGTGTGCGCATGCGCAGAGCTGCCAGGAGAAGGGAACAGCTAAGGAACAAGAGTCGACTCAGGAGTAAAGCCACAGGTGGACAGTGAACAGCCCCTCTCATAGGGAATAGAGGAGCAAAAGGGGAGGGGAGTTTGCAGGAGACAGTTTGCTTAATTGGTTCGTGACTCTCAGACACTTCTTGCCAAGTTTTAAAGATATCGGCCTGGCAGCTCTCCAAGCCAGATAAGGTCTGTGACTGTAAATTCTCCCTTGAAAGACTTTGCTGGATGTGAATGAGAGGAATTCACAGTTTTTGTCAGGACAAGGAGTCTGCTTCATGCTCTTGGGAAGCCTAGGTCAGAATACCTTTGTTCATTACCACTGTAAATTTGAACAGTTGTTGAACGAATGTTGTAAGGTGAGGACTACCTGTACATGTATTGTTAAAGTATGTCTTTGCTGGCCTGATTTTGGCTACCTTCTTGACTTTATTGATCCGCTTCCTGTGGACATCTCTGTTTGCACAACAAACACTTAAGAGGCATGTTATGACCCACTCAAAATAAATTTCTCAATATTTCAGTTAAAAATGCATTGATGGCTATCACTTCAGGAAGCTTAGCAAGCCACTTCTACAGCTCTGGGGCTGTAGCAGAAGCAGTCTTAAAACAAGATCTGGGACATTCAAGCAGGTCAGTGAGAAAATGGATGACGGACAGCTATATGGATTTTGAGCAGCTGAGATATTTAAATCCCATAGAAATTATGTGGCAGGACCAGAAATAAACAATTAATGTCAGGATACTCTCAAATATTATTGAATTGAATGGGCCAAAATTCTCATACCTGGATATAAAACACCAGTTAAAGAAAACATTTGCATTTATATTTATTGCAGCTAAAAGTTGTGCAGCTAATTTAAGAATTCTAAGAGTGGAACTATTTTGTCAAACTCACACATTACAAATTGGATAACTGTGAAAGCATTTTTTTTTTTTTTACAGTACTACAATTGTATCACATATGTGTTTGTATTTCCACTATGGTAATTTTGTCTGCTTCAGAATAAACTCTTTTGTGCAATCATTTGGGTTCAAAACACATTCATGTGTGATAAACTTCTTGTACTGATAAAAACACAACTCATGTAACTCTACTGTATGGACTTATCGATCTTGTTTTCTTTGTGACAGATATGTTCTGAAATGTTTTCTCAGTATAATAGCTGCAAATCCATGTAATTTCCCATGTTAAACCTGCTTCATTTTTTGGGAGATTAACTGAGATAGGCCAAGTCTTCACACAGAGTTGAACACAATTCTTTAAATTTTACACAATTGGATACTTATTCTTCAATTTTTAATTGTTCTGAAAAGCCATAAATCACATTCCACAGTGTGATATATTAAGACAATTCCAGTATAGGAGTCTCATTTGATCCATCACAGTGGTGGAATTCAAATTTCTTTACTACTGGTTCTGTGGGCGTGGCAGGGGAAGGATACTGCAAAATCTCCATTCCCACCCCACTCCAGGGGAAGCATTCTGCAAAATCCCCATTCCCTCCCCACTCCTGGGGGAAGGATATTGCAAAATCTCCATTCCCACCCCACTCGGGAGACAGCCAGAGGTGGTATTTGCCGGTTCTCCGAACTACTCAAAATTCCCGCTACCGGTTTTCCAGAATCTGTCAGAACCTGCTGAATAGCATCCCTGGTCCATCATCTCAGGCATTTTTGGAGATGGTTCTAATTTTAGATAATTGCTTTTGTTCTCCATTATGACTAGAGTAAATTTTTTAAATTATAGAATACTATATTATGTTATTTGATGTTAAGATATCTTTTATAGTGCATATTCACTAGATTAGGATTCTTCATACTTGTATAAAGTTCTACGAGAACTTGATGAGGTTCTACAAGAGACTAAGAGCGGTGAGACTGAGACTGTGTTTCATTCAAACACAGCCAAATTCTCTACCAGGAAAGTGCTCATTCCTGAGTTGTAGCAGTGTCAGTGTTGATGGAAGTCATTGCTTCAGAAGATCATCTTGTTAGGAACCCTGGCAGCAGGACTGTAAGAACAACCTAGGCCTGCAGCTGTTGGTCATGAGGTCCACAGCTTGATGAGCCTCTGACTCTTCCTCAGAGGAAACAGCTGATTCAGAAGAACCAGGTCATACTGGCTAGGTCTTCCATCTTCAGCATATTTTGCTTTGTTGGCATCCTGCCATAAAATGTGGCGGGAGTAGGGGTGGGTGGGACGAGAGAGATTAGGACTGGTCAAGGTTGGAGGATCAGGGGAAGAGGAAAAAACACAGGCTTTGTGAGGGAATATTCAGATCCAGCTTTGCTAATAACCACTTGACTTTAGTAAAGCTTTCACTTTAAAAACAGA